CATTCCACCACCCAGAAGGATCCATTGTGCCCTGTTGAAGTCGACCCTTCTACCCCAGAGGCAACCGGTACTGGTGATTACTTTAGCCTGTTCTTGGACTTCATCTGTGTGGAGTCATACAGGTTATACAGACACTGCATCCCCATCCAGAGCCTGGCATGGCGTTTGGCACGTGGCTGGTATGCGATATGAAAGAACGTCTGGTTCTCACTCATCTACGAGAGAGCACTGACCGCCCCCACCCTCCCGAGACTGAGGCTGCAGGAAGTTAGAGACCTGCCTGGGGCACAAGCCAAGGAAAGGGGTAGGTCCTGGACCCCAGCCCAGACTCCTTGATTCTGACTCTGCTTCCCCAAGCAGCGGGGTTCCCCAGCCCTTGGTCAGGGCTCCCTTCCAGCCCTCTGTGAGAGCAACCCTGGTGATCCTGGGCAGGTAGTGCCCCCTGCTGCCTGTGGGGCCTGACCCAGACCCCTTTGTCCTCCGTGGGATGTGACAGGATCACATGGGCCGGGAGACCAGCGCAGTGACTGGCCAAGGACAGGGTCTAGCAGAATAAAAGTCACATGCCCTTTTATTTTCCTCGGAAAAGGAAAGGTTTTCCCAAGCTTTGGGGGCTTTCCATCCCCAGAATGAACGGACTGAGGGAAACAGAGGCCTCTTTGGTGGAGCGCTGCTGCCCCCACGTGGATGACTCAGGACACTACCACAGTGCGGGTTGTCCGAGTCAGGCGTTTTGCGGGTCTTAGATTCTGGTCTCAGCTTTTAGGCCCCTTGCCTCCTGGTGTCCTGCATTTTGGTATTCTGGTCACTGAGAAGCAGACGTCTGTCAGGGCCATCAGTCACCACTCCAGCCTCGCCGGGGACGGAGGCCTTCTCCAGAGAACGAGCCCCCGCTGTGTTTGTGGGACAGCTGTGGCCCCCGCACCTCCTGGGGGAAGGTGGGCTGGACATACGCGTCGAGGGCCTGTCCTGTATTAAGCAAGGTTTAGGTGAGATGGTTTGATCTTACAGCTTGGTTCACAGCGGGGTGCAGGGGTGGGGCAGGGGAGGCCTCTCAGCAGTGGGGCGTGCAGCACCTCTCAGTCTGCTGCTGGGCGGGGCTGCCACTCCAAGGAGGGGCTTGGTGGCCTTCCAGGCGCACCTGCGGTTGGCGGTGTAACGGCGCAGCCTGCCTGGCTTCGGCACGTGGCCTAGGGCGATGGTATCGCTAACTCAGTATTTTTAACTCCTCTTTCCAGAGGATGTGGCTTTTGCGGGAGAGCTTCAAAGGGTGCCCTATTTGCCCCTCTTGGCAACCATGACGTCATGGAAATGAAAGGGGCCGTCCCAACCCCCCAAACACCTGGAGGGAAGTGGGAGACTTTTTTCCATTTCCTGTCCTACTTCTGGCTACTGACTCAATGTCTGACCTGTTTATTAATTTCAAAATGTAGCTCTACATGTGACACTCATAGGAAATCGTACACATGTGTATGTCTGGGTAAAACGAAGCCTGTAAATCAGGTGGCCTTTCGTCGAGGCAGGACTCTCGTGGTTCTGCGGTGCGTGTCCTCGTCGCCCAGTGTACTTATTAACAGAGTGATAGCACTGGGTCTCCCGGCAGCCGACTTCCCCCCGGCCCACACATTGCTCCTGGAGGCAGATTGAAGAAGGGGTGTTAAGAAAGGACAGGGAGAAGGAGCGGTGGGATGGTGATAGGACCTTCAGCCCTGGACTTTGGCATGGTCCCACGGGGTCGGAGCTCTGACTCCCGGGGGCCCCGTGTGCTTCCCCAGAGTAGCCATCCCCCAGGCCATATTGGATGAGCCCATGTGCGGGCTGCACTAGCCAAGGGGCCATCACTGAGGTTTTACGTTTCCTGATAGTTCTTGATAGCTTATGCTTAGGTCTTGGCAAAACTGTGGAAGAGAGGCTCACCAGGCCACCTCCTCTTTTAATCCTACTTTCTCTTCTCCCTCTCTCTTTAATTTATTGATTCTGGACAGAGAAGAAGTGGGGAGAGACATCAATTTGTTCTTCCACTTATTTATGCATTCATTGGCTGCTGCTTGTGTGTGTGCTCTGACTGGGAATCGAACCTGCAACCTTGGCATATCAGGGCAACACTCTAACAAACTGAGTTAGCTGGCCAGGGCTACTTTTCCTTCGCTTATGCCTGCCCCTGCCCCCTGCCCCCCCAACACTCAACCACACTAATCATTATTTATCTTTTCTCTGGTTAAGTGTATATTTAGCATATGTTGTGTGCCAGGCATGGTGCTGGGTGTTGCAGACACATGGATGAATAAGGTACCTTCCCATCCCAAGTGTGCACAGTCTAGTGGAATTTCTTGCTGAGGTGTTACCTGACAACTAAGGTGATATCTGTAAAGGGCTTTATAGGTAACACTAGGGGAGTTAAGTTTTATTGGCAAACCGATAAGATCAATGATTCTTTGAGACCCAGATGGCTGTGTCTCCAAGGGTAGGTCTGAAGACCTCGCTTAGGTCTCTCCCTGAAGCACATACTTGTTAGCCTGACCTTCTCTTGACTGGCTTATAATTCTAACTGTACGCTGAGAGCAGGTGAAGTGTCAGAGTATCTTAGGCCTGTGTTCATGAGAAGTCACTTGGTCCACTCTTCTGCCTCCAGGCTGGCCTGAGGTTAAGCCTTTTGAATCCGTTCTGTAACTGGCTTTGCCGACCCGTGCTCGGCTTGGGTGGCAGCCTTCTCTCCTTGGACCAGGTCCCTGCTCACGGAACCTGAGGCTCTTCATGGTAGGGCCTCTGTAGGGACTTGGAGATCATATCTTCAGGTTTCCTCAAGGACGTCTCCCCTCCAGGCTGAACAATGCCTTGTCCCGACTGCACTGAGGGACTCTGCTGATGCTCCCAGTGGGCACAGGACCCCTCCCCCTGGGCCTTCTCACAAGGCCACTTTAATTCCCTTGGACATCTTGGTGGATCCTGGGGCCAGATGTGAGAACAGAGTGGACAAAGTTACGTGGCGCCTCCGCACCACCCCACAGCGCACCCAGGCGCTCCGGCTCTGCTTTCTGACTCAGCTTCAGGCTGGAGGGAAAGTTCTCTCTGGGACTGAGGAGCCCTGGTTGCAGATGGAAACTTCTTAGGGGGCAGAGCTGAGCCTGATGTCCAGATGGCCTCTTACCTGCCTGAGGCCTTGTCACCCTCAGCTTGGGCAGGGTCTGGGTGCCTCTTGTCACTGCCATGCCACCTCATCAGTGCTCAGGTGGCCTTAGGAGTTCAGTGACTATGGGGCCTGCCGTCTGAGGGCCCTGGGTCGGCACTGCTCCTCAGGATCCCTTGGTCTTTCCAGGGTTCTTGGAGGGCTTTTTGGCCCCTTTACTGCCTCTCTGGGTCCCTGCCCCAAGTCCCAGTGTCCCCTTCAGCCTCAGTATCTTTGCGACCAATTCTCACCTCGTCTGGTCTTTTGTATACAGACCAAAGTGAATTACCACTTTAGGAGGAAAAAAAGACAAACTAGTCTGTTCTAAGTTTTTAACGGTTGACAAACACTTTGCTCTGTTAACCCTCCAAGGAGCATTTTCATTTAATATGGAGAAGAGAATTAATTACAGGAATCCCCAATGGTGGAATCTCTGGCATCGTGTCAGACTGATGAGGAGGCAGTTTTGTGTTCCTCACAGCTGGCTGCTCCTGCTTTTGGGGAGGAGGTTCCTGTCCTCTTACGTGTGAGTGAGCCACTGTGATGGGATTTCCGCTGAGACTTTTCCTGGTAGTGATCTGGAAAGGGGCTTGTGTTTTGGCTGCAGATGAAGAGGCTCAGAGAGAACTGGGGACTGTGACTGTGCTTGGCAGGGCTGGCCAGGGCGTGGAGGCTGCCTCTGAGCTCTGCAGAGGCCACCGGACCAGAGATGCATGGAGCTGGAGGCAGCCTCCAGTCCAAGGGACATTTTGTAGGTAGCGAGGCTGGAGCTTCTGGAGGGGAGGGACGCACTCGGTCACCTAAGGAGCAGGTGGCTCTGTCCCTGTGAAAAGAAGCAGGCCTGGGTTGTAGCTGGAGGGATTTGCGTGTAACTTCTGGCTGACGGAGTCAGAGACATGCGGGTGAACCATAGAGGTATTTGAGGACAGGATGCGCTCCGACCGCTGGGAATTGGCAAGCACTAGGCTTTCATGCTGATGGAAGGGGTTGTGAGGGGGATGGGCCGTGTGATCTCTGAGGGGCTTCCTGTCAGCATCCATGATGCGAGGAAAGGCGCTCAGGCAGCAGGAGGCTCAGGAGTTTCCCAGAGCCCCAGGGAATCCCACCTCCTGTCCTCCACGGAGGGCTTGAGATGTCCACTCTCCAGGTGTAATCCCTGGATTCGGGGCAGGGGGCAAGGGCGGGGGAGAGCTCAACACCCCTTTCCTTATCCTCTCATCCAGGATTGGGGGAGTGTAAACTCTAGCTAGGGTCACAGCCTCCTTCCCCGCCGCCCCACCCCAGCCACCTGTAGACTGGGCACCCCAAGGAGCTGGGTACTGGGTTGGGACCCAAGCGGTGGAGTAGCGGGTGGTCCCCAGCCATGAATTTGTGGGGCAATGTACAATTTCTGTGGGAATCCAGTCTGAAAGGAAAGGCAAAGGCAACACTCCTAGGGGGCAGGAGACAGTGGGTGGCATTTGGGGGATACTTGCTGTGTGGTCCCTGTCTGCCAGACTTCAGCTACAGGTCACTACCACCCATGCACATGGGCCTCCTGCCACGGTGGCCCAGCGGTGCGGAAACGGAAGAGCAGGGACTCCAGCTTTTAAGTGGGTTTGCCTGGGCCCCAGCGCTGCCTTCCAAATGGAATTTTTTAGAGGTTATTCCGGGAAGAGGTTGACATAAGCGGCTAGCTGAGTTATACTCCCTGAATGTCATTGTGGACAAATGTCTTGGTTTCCTTCTGCCCAGGTTCCCTCCTGCCCAGCTGGTGATCAGCGGCAAGCCCAGTGCGACCCCAACCAAACCCAGTCAAACAGGAGCACGGTCTCTGCTCTTCCAGATCACTTTTAATGAAGCCAGGGAAGCAGAATACACAACGTGGCTCACACACACAGCACAGCAGGGCCGAGATGGTGAGGTAATTCCCCCCACATCTTGGGGCAAAGGGCAATATGTATTTCTTCACAAACACTATTTTAAAAATATAAAAAAAAAATGTAAGCTCCCCACAACATTCTCCAGGAACTAGAACTCGAGAGAAGCCCACAGGGACCCATCACCCTGTGAGATGTCAGAGGCAGCTTCGGAAGCGGAGGGGGTGTCTCCACAGCCAGGAGGGGCTGCAGCAGCCCCTGCCTTCCCAGGGAGCGGCGTCCGGCCGTGACGAGCAGCAATGAGGGGACGGAGGGAGTGGCGGCAGCATTTGGCAGCTCATCAGCATCTTGATCACAACTATCTGGTAGGATCCAGTTGGTGGCATTGCCAGTGGGGCCAGAGAGGCGGAGGGAGACTTCTCCTCCTTGGAGGCCAAGAGTGCGTGTCTCTCTGCTGGGAGAGAGGCGGGCGGTGAGGAGCGAGGCACGAGGAGCATTGGGCTCTCACATTCTTGGTGACCTGGGATGGGGAAGAACAGAAGTCAGGCTGGACACCGGGGAGGCAGACCCAGGGAAGTTAGAGAAGTGAGGGAGGTGCCTCTACTAGTAGAGTTTGTAGGGCAAATGGACCCTGGAGTTCTTTTGGACGGTGGTGGAAGGAGATGGACTTGTCATCAAGATGGTCAGGGACACTGGGGACAATGGGTGTGGAGATTGTAGCCAGGATTAGGGTGTAATGAGTATGACATCTCAGTATATTGGAGGCCCAGGACAAGAGGAAAGGCACTGGGAGCTCCATTAGGTTTTTCAGTGACAGGGATACAATAGAAGGAATGGTAGAAGGTGTAAGTGTGGGCCGGGATCCTGAATTTCTCTTTTTTTTTTTTTTCACTCATTAGTGTGTGGCTCTTGATGTTACTTAGCCTCAGTTTCTTGATTTCCAAAATGAGGATAGTAACAATTGTTTATACTTTGTAGAGGAGACATGACCCAAGAAATGTGACTATTGTCACCCAAGGAGTGTATTATGTGGTGTCCAAGCCATTGTTATGAAGGGGAACTCATAATGGGAAAGAACGGAGGAGTTTGGTGGGCCCAGACTTAGCACCTAAAAAAAAAAGAAGACCCTGGGGGCAGATTTTCTTTCAGAGCTCGGGGACCCCCAAGACCCTCAGCCACCCCTGTCTGGCCGAGATGCCCGCTCACCTCAGCTGGACCACAGCCGCAGCGTCATGAGCAAGTTAAAGCCGGCCACCTTCAGGAGCACGATGCGGAACCCGATCACGGACAGGTTTTGGAAGTTTAGGTTCATATCTACAATATCAAGAGGCCAAAGCGGTTATAAGCATGCACACGCGAGGCCTGCACAGCGCCCTATGACATACGAAGGCTTTCCCGAAATCAGGGTGGGGTGGGCTCCAGCACCTGGACCCGCCTCTCCCTTTGAGCTTCTGTGCACATTCCCTTGTAAACATAGTTGTACGTTCCTCGGGATCCACAGTATTTCGTTTCAAAAGGAAGACACCCATAGCGCTTAGTCCTTATTTTATTTCTGAGCCCCTCAACAGATGGAGATGAGGTGGGTGCTCAGAACTTATTGCAATCCCTTGGGTCTGGGACCCTTATGAGAATCTAGTGGCTGAACCTGCAAGAGGGATGACTCAAACGCAGCTCAAGTGGAAATGAATGTGGGCCCAGGGTAGGTGGTGAGGAGTGGAGGGGATCCTGGAGAGATAAGATCACCACCTACACAAGTTCTGCTGCTCTTCTTGAGAGAAGGCAAAACCCCATGGCTGTGGAGGACAACTGTCCTCAGGGTGATCTGGTTAGTTTAGGGCTGTACCTAAGCTTGTAAGCTAGTAAGCTCCTCGGCATTTCATAGCTGGGCCACCTGGAAGCTCTTGTTGGCTCTCTGACAGTGGAGGAATGGAAAGGAATGCAGAAGCCTAGGAGTGAGCCACTGCTTGTGAAAAATAGAGACTCATCCTCACAGTACTCAGAATGGACATGAAGATGAAGAGAGACCCAGAGGAACCTGGGGATTCAAGAATGACCGCAGCAGCTTTGACCAGGGCTTGAACTGCTGTTCCCATTCGTCATAACTTCATTCCTAGATCCACAGGTTCCCTCCTTCCTGCCCTAGCCAGGCAGGGTTACTGTGGCTTATGCTGCTCCCCAAAACCTGTGCGAAGCCAGAATAGACTCTTTTCTTACCTGTTTCAAAGCTTTTCTCTACCGACGTGGCATCACAGGAAAATTCTAAAAGGAGAAATAAAAGAAATTTTCTTAGAGTCTAGAGTTTGCCTACTCTCCCACACCAGACCTCCTAGGAGGTGGGCAAGTGAGTGTCTATGGCCTTCCCACGTTCCGTTGTGGAGAGGTCTGCAGGGAACTTGGCGCATATGGGCCCCCGCTGGGGAGAGCCACTGGCCCTGGCAGGACCAACGCCTTGGCTTCTGGGCACCATGTCACTCACTTAACAAACACTGGTTGTGCAGAGTTTATATGACATGACACAAGGCCATAAGGTACCATGAGACCCAGCTGCTGCCCTTGGGCACCTTCCTGGCTACAGTCCGGGAGAGGCAATAAATGACATACACAGTGACAAGTGCCATAAGGGGTATAGATGCTTTCATGTGGTCCACACATTTTCCATCCCTGCACCCTGAATGCGTTCCCTGGTTTTCTCCACCTCACACTCATTGACTCAGCTGCTCTGGCATAAAATCCAGGCACCTCCTTGGACCCCCTCCCTTCCTTCTCCTCCCCGCATGGTTCCACCTTTGGGTCCCAGTGAGCTCTGGCCCGCCACTGCCCTGCTGCCACCCTGTCCTGGCCCCCCACCGTCTTTCGGCTGCATTTGCTTCCTTTCGGCTTCCACTCTTGCTCCTGTAGTCCAATCTCCACTCAGCAGAGTACTTTTTTAAAAAAGTAAATTAGATCTCATTTCCCTGCTAAAGCCAGACAGTGGCTTCTTGTTGTAATTAGAATAGTATCTGCTCTCTCAGACCTGGGGGGCTCTTTGATCTGACCCTTTCCTACTTCTTCCCTCCCATTTCCTACTGTCCGTCCTCTTTCTCACTAAACTCCTGACTCAGGCCTCCACAGCTGGGGGCGGGCAGGGTGGACATAGGGGGAGGGAACTTGGAAGAGGGCATCAGAATGGGGCCTGGAAGAGCAGTGAGGGGCAAGCGGCTCAAGCTGGGGCAGGGAGGTGGGAATTCAGGGTGGGTGAGCCTGAGGGCCAGTGCTCCCTCCCGCCACCTTCTCCCCATCTCTTTCTGCCCAGAACATCCCGGGGCCTGCCAGGACGGGGCTCACTGGCACTCAGTAACCAGAGGGTTAGGGGTCTTTGCTGACAACGGATGAGGCCGAGGCCACCAGTCACAGCAGCATTTTGACACCAGGCCTCTGGCAGCAAAGACACTCAGCTCGCACAGGCACTGAGGCTGCACTCACCTGAGCTGGAGTAGAAGGTCTCATTGAAGGTGCCTTCACATCCAAAATCAGTGCCATCACTCCAGAGCAGGGTCCCGTAGCTCTTGGAATTGATGTGCTTCATGTCCAGCACTGTGCTGTCCGAGTGGGACACTGTGGACCCTGTGGCTTGGGACACATTCGTTTGAGAATCAAAATCGGTGAATAGGCAGACGGAAGTATTGCTGGATTTAGGGCTTCTCAGCTGGTACACAGCAGGGTCAGGATTCTTGATATCTGTGGACCAAACGAAGCTGGGTTAGGAGATGTTTGTTTCCCTCCTTGCCCCAACCCAGGCCTGAGTTCAGATGCCAGCGATGGGCAAGAGCAGAGCTCTGAGGGGCTGGCAAGTCCCACTCTCAGGCTTTAGATGGGAAAGAACATTCTAGAAACTGGCTGCTTGCAGCAGACTGGGACTCAGGCACAAGCCATGAGCCCTGGCCAAGAGGCCAGGCTCTTCGTGAATGCTGTCTGCCAGGCTCTGCCTGCCATTCAAGGAAACCAGAAATGAAGGCCCATGTAATGATACCGCTCATTCTTCTGCTCAGCAGGAACTTCAAAAACCAGCAGGCCTGGTAAACAACATAGCTCTGGCAGGACAAACCAAGCATAGAAAAAAGGCCCAGCAAAGCAAACCATACGTCTTGGGATCTGGGTTGGTCTCCCACACTTAGGGCATCGACGGGACCGGGAGGCTTATGAGAGGCTGGAATTAACTCCGAAGACGGGTCACACCACCAGATTTCTCGCATCCGCAACAGTTGTGGACTATAAATCGGAACACCTCTGTCCAAGCCCTGGCGGGATCATTTACTAGATACCAGGCCCAGACGCAAGGGGCAAGTCACACCGCCCCTTAAATCTCAGGAATTTCATCTGTGAAATGACGGTGTTGCCTCATCCACTTTCCTAACCAGGCTTTTCTGAGAAACAAATGAGACTTTCTCCATATAAAATTATATTTAATAAACTGTGAAGTATTGAACAGATGTAAGTGATTGCAGCCGGTGATGCTACCAGAAGATGGCCACCATAATGTGCTACTGAGTAATACACGGTTTCTACTCTTCACACTCCCAGGAAGCTAACGGCTTTTCCTCAGTGCTGAGAATCATTTTTCAGTATTGCCTTTGGGTTTTGTGTTTTTAATACAACTCTCATTGTTTATTCTTTCAGACCTCCTGCCTTTGGAGGAAGAAGCAGAGGTTTGCAGGGAGGATTAACACATTGAGGCCACCCAGAGAGTTTACAGCAGGGTTGGGACTGCAGCTTCCTGCCCCTGTGGTTCTCAGCCCCCACAGCTTCTCACCGTGCATACAAGGCTCCTCAGACTAGCGAGGCACCCGACTTGCTGAGCCAGCCAGGGTGGCCTTGGCAGTGCAGACATCCAGCTGGGCCCCTAAACTTGGGAAATGAGCCCTTGGCATGGCCTTGGGATGCTGAGTCAAGGCAGAACTGCCTGCCGGTGGGCTGACCTCTGGAGCAGCAGAGCCAGGCTGGGTCCCTGGTCGCATGTAAGGGGCATCCAAGTCTTTGCCCCCCTCAAAATTCTGCCGGCTCCTCTCCAGTTTCCACATACCATGGGGCCTGGCATCACTGTGGGGTAAGGCCCTATGACATAAGTCTTCTACGGGGAGGGGAGAGATGGGAAGCCGTCAGCACCACCAACACACCCCAGTGGATTTTTCAGTCATCAGTGGGAGTCATGGGAGGGACTGGAAGTGGGACGTGGGAAGGTGGGGAGATGCTGAGAGAATGCGGCCTCAAAAAGAGGGGAGGGGACCAGGTGCCGCCAGATGCAGTTTGGCCTTACGGGGAGTGGGGATGGCTGTGGGGGCCAGATGTCCAACTTTGAGTCCTGGCTGAACACTCACTTAAGTCCTAGAGCCAATGGGTATCAGGCAGGAGAAGGTCAAGACCACACTGTCCAATACAGTAGCCTTTAGCTACATGTGGCTATTTAAATTTAAGTTCACCAAAATTAAATAAACTTAAAAATTCAATGAAAAACTAGAACTTCATTTTAAGAGGTCAATAGCCCCATGTGGCACTGGCTGCTGTGTCCGATAATACAGATTGCTAGGACGTTGTCACTAGCCATGACAGAAAGTTCTGCCCAGAAAGTTCTGTTGGGTAGCGTTGGTCTGGAGAGAGCAACGCCCCAGAACATGGGCCTTTGAGGAAAGACAATAGGCGCTGAGTGTGAGCCTTAAAGCCATCTTGAAGTTTGGGAGGGGTGACTACCAGGGGCAGACCAACAGCTCAGCTTTGCTGATGAAAGATCAAAATAAAATACCAATAAATGATGTCAGAAGAATTGATGTGATTTTCAGCGTTTTTCACATCCTGTTTTTTCCAGCTGATATCCGTTGGGTTTTCCTATCCTCAGTTTTGCTGTTGTTTCTCCTGTCCGGCTTCCCTACTTCCAATTTCCTCTCGTGCTCATCCTCCCCGCTTTCCCCGCCCCCCTCAGTCTCTTCTTTGAGCTCATCTTCCAAAGTATTCACACTTGCCTAAAACATGGAGCTGATTGGGTCACTTTCTGTTCTAAATAATTCAGGGACTCCCTAGTGCCTGCAGAATAACGGCCCAGCTTCCCGGCATGAGATTCAGGGTCTGCCATGATCAAGAATTTCCTTTCTCGAGTCCTGTATATGCCCTCTAAGAGTAGAGCTGCACCAAGCCCTTCAGACTGGCTCCCCAGGATGCCGGCTCCGAGACAGCAAAGGTCCGTTTCTGGTTTGCTGCCTTCCCTCGTATCCGCCACCCACGGGGGTGCACAAGAAACAATTGTTGAATAAATACACGGGCCAGTGACCACAAGGTTTGCAAAATTTCTGCTTTTTAGTCAAGGTGGGTACTCATCCCTAAACTTGAATTTTTAGCCCCATTTTACTATTGCCCACACATTACCTATGGTGCAACCTTAATATTTTAGTCTGAAAATAAGAAATGAGCCCGTCTTAATCTGGAGGGCTGTAGGCGCCTGTCTCCCTTGTGGGCAGAGGCATCCTGTTCAACCTAGCAAGACAAACATGTCTCGCCATGGATGATACCTCCAAAGGTAGCTTTAGTGAGACTGGATCAACTTTCAGTGTGGAAGTTCAGCTATTCTAGATCCTGATCTTTCATTTTAATACAAAATGAACCACAGAAGCACGTGCCCGAAAGCTTGAGCGCTTCGGATCCCCAGGGGTGCGGCGGGGATTGAAAGCTCCTGCACCACCCGATCTGTGCTTTGTAGCTGGATGCGAGCAACCCAGAAATGCGAGTTAGGGAAACGGACTCCGAGTCCCACTGAGGCCCCGGTGAGCATTAGGAAACAAGGAACACTTCCTGAGAAGACTTACCGGGGATAATGGAAACTCTGGTACCTTGGCCAAATTGCAACTGGGAGGCAGCACCGTCATACCACTCCCAATGTCCCCATTACAGAAACCCTTGGGTTTCTCCTCCTCTGAGGAAGGGGGTAACTCCTCTTGCAGCCCACTGGGGGAGGACAGGGGAGGCCCCCAGGCCGTGGGCTGGCCGTGGAAAGAGCTTGTCCCTCGCCTTCACATCCTGTCTGCATTTCTAAAGTAGATTTCCAGTTTCCCAGTGGCTGGCCATGGCCTTGACTGTCTGTATTCTCTTGAAGGCTCTAGGACTCCTTTTCTTCATCGTCTAAGAAGACATCTTGCCTTTTTCTCCATCTAACTTTATTATTAGATGTGTTTACTTAGGCTTAAATGCACGTACCTTGTTTAGTCTCAAGATCGTGTTTTCTTTCGTGCTGTTCTTTGTTCCTGGAACCCCCCTTCCTCTCATTTCTTTATTCATAAAGATCTTATCCATCTCTCAGGCTCAATGAGCACTTTCTACTGCATAAAACCTTTTCTGTCTGGGTCAACTTTATAGCCAGGGCTGTAAAGCCAGGGCCCTATTCCTCTGAAACTCTAGTACACTTTTTGGCATCATCGATTGGTTAATATTAAAATAGTGTTTAGGTAGCTGAATTTACAATAGTTCTGTCCCTTTTGCTAGTTTTTATACTGTTTGGGGACAGGTCAGGAGTCTATCTCAGACTTCTTCATACTCAGTCTAACATTTTGTAGAGTGATGGCCGCATGGAAGGCATTTAAAAATATCCATTGGACCATTAGAGTTACATTTTAATGTGTTCAACCTAGAGAAACACAGACTGTAAAGAGTGATAATGATGCCTTCTCCCTTCGCAGCGCTCTCTGTAAGGCAATTAGTGGTAACGCCCACAGTTGGCCTCACCATGGTCATCACCCATATCCCAGGGGGAAGGATTAGTGACACCAGCCCACAGGGCTGCAAATGGTGCCATCCGGGGTGACTCACCAGATGCTATGGACACTTGGGTTCCTTTCCCAAATGTGAGTTTACCAGTCATTCCTCCGGTGTTCACACTGCAGGAGACGCCATTACAGAAACTCACTGGTCCTACCTCCTACTTCAGCGGGAGAAGCGCTGATTTCCCTACCGGAGGGGACTGGGGAATCACGCCCTTTTGAGTCAGACCTGCTGCTCTTTTGCGTTGAGATTTTTGTCCCTGGTCTGGATGATCCTTCTCCTCCTGCCTCATCCTGCAGTAGTGCCCTGGGTTGGAGGTTGTAATTTCAGCAAACCAAGAGTCTAGCAAGAGCAGAAACCCCTGCTCAGGGCAGCGGTATCGGGGATCCTCTTGGGGAAGCTCCACAACTACTTGCTCATCACCTGCCTCATGATTCTTAAGGTCCCAGACCAAGGCTGTTCCTGGGGCATTGATTGCTAGATGGGAAGACATTTGAGGGAGGATTGGGAAGAACTGTTTGGCACTTTACAGAAGGAAATACCTGGGCTCAACTCAGAATCTTGGACAAAGAAGAATTAGTTGTCAATGTCCACCCTTGCCCTATTCTACTTACTTGGCTGGACGCTCACTCTGGTCCCTGCTCCAAAGACGAGCGTGTTAGCACTGCCATATCCCCACTACAAGTAAGGTCTTTGCAATAACCTTCCTGATGCTAATGTGCTGGACGCCCCCCCGCCCCCCGCCAGATCTGAGAGCACCCTCCTAAAAGTCTCCCTGGGTCTTTGTTTCTTAGCCCTCTTGTTTCCCAGGAAAGCCGTTCCCTTTTCCCTTTATTATAATGCAATCTTTAGTACAGCAAAATCTCAATGATAAGAATAATTATAATTTGGGAAAGCTACCATTTACTGATTACTTGCTATATAGCAGGCATTGTCTC